ATCCTTTACTGAAGTGAAAAGACCAACTCATTAGTCTTAAAATACTCCATCACAAGTTTCAGTTACAAAATGCTGTAAAAGCACTGACGTAAAAGTACTGCTTTGGTCCCTCTGATATATTATTAAATATGGCATCATCAGATTATTAATTCTGACGCATCAGCAGCATGTTTAACTTTGTGGCTGCTGCAAGTGGAGATAGTTTGAACTGCTTTATATACGGTTTTATAAACAGAGACACCACATAAATCTGAGAGGACACCGGATGATTAATGGGAGAGGAAAGAATATCTAATGCACAAATCTATTTTCAGTTATTTCTCTCTAATCTTTACTTTTTGGTAAGACATTTAATCATTTGAACATTTTTTGAAATGAAACCATAGTTATCTAAAGTGTGACCCAGATTTCACACTGCTTTTTGTAAGACATCAGACACCAAAATGCCATTAGGTAGTCTTTAACAATGTGCGTTATTTAAAAATACTGTTATATTTTCAGTAGTTTAAAATCTAGTACATTACAAGTACTTCAAACTTGTACCTAAATGCAATACTTGACTAAATAAACTTAGTTACTTCTCTAAATGTAAACTGATAACATTTTGGTTTGTCTTTCTTCCAGGGCTAATGTAGCTTTTGATTTTCCTGTGGTTATTCATGGATGCAAGAAAAATACATAAAGAAAATACTGTATTTTCTGTCTTTGCGCTTTTCCTTGTAACAGTAATCAAATTTGAAGCTTCAGCATCAACACATCCATCCCTCTTAACACCATTTGAAAAAGCTTAGTTCTTTACAAACCTTGAATATTTTTGACAAATGTGTTTTACTTGACAGGTTGTCCCAGTATTTACTTTTATCAGTTATTTCTGTTGTTGTTGTTTTGTTTGTTTTGTTGCTTGTTTGCTTGTTTGTTGGCCATAGATGAATCTGTTTCATAAGTTTTGTCCAGCTTTGATCCTGTTTGTTAAGACAAGTGCATCAGGAAGTTGAAAAAAAAAGAAATTCAGTCCGTTGTTTAAATTGCTTAGAAATGGGTGGATGTTCATATGTAGCCCTGTTTGTTTGCAGTGAGAGTTTATTCAATCAGAAACTTAAGCAGCATCCAGTTTTATCTGTAATCAGCATCCCAGTTACACTTACACGCCCAAAGGGAAATTAAATGTGAAGTCTCCTGGAGTCCCACAGTATTCTGACATAAATGTAATTTTGAAAACTGGCATGAATTATATGTTAGATTTCTTTATCACCAACAAAATTAGGAGTTATGTAGAAATGTGTTGTATACTGGCATTGTCTCAATCTGGTTGATGCTTAGTGACCTCTAGTGGCAAGATCAGGCTTAGCACATGAAATGTAAACTCAAATGATGGATCACTGCCCAGGTTTTGGTATTTGACATTTGCAGCATGAAATCAATAGCAGTACGTATAACAAGAACAGCATATTTTCATTCTGTTTTAGCCGTTTCTTTTATTTTAAAAGGCATTTATATGAAGTTTGGTGTAAATCTCATTAGTAGCAGGTATTCAAAGTGATTTAACAGTAGTTTTACTACAGTGCATCTCACAAACTACCAGAAGAAATCCTTTTCTGGCAGATCAAGCTCATCCACTATATTTTCTAAACTCTTGGCTAGAGTTGCACCAAATTATCATACAATTATCAAGTATTCCAACAATTGCCTTCTTTATTGACTTCTTAGTCTATGCAAAAACAGATGCAGGGCCATAAAAAAGCCCAAACTGAAGACTTAAATTGTCTTTTTTTTTTGCCTAATGAGCAATCTAAAACCCAGGCACTTTCAGTTTACAGTGATATTAAGCTGAAAAGGAGCCCACATTTAAAGTCGGTATCAGGCAATTAAAACATATATAGAGAGAATAATTATTTCAGCTCTTACCACAATCCAAAATGTTTTGTTTGTTTCTTTAAAGTTTTTTTTTTTTTTCTTCAGAGACACATGGAAATGTCTATTCATACGTCAGCCACAAGGCTTGTGGCTTATACAACTGTAGCACTGCAGATGATGGAGGTAAATGAAGGTGACCTCGACATTTGTGGCCACACAGATACTCAGGTGTACATAAATCCGAGTGTGTGCGTTATAAAGACAATAGAAGATGCTGATAGTTGAAGGACAGGCGCACCAGCCACTGGGTCCCAGAGAGGGGGTTAAGGGAGAGGAGGAGGCCAGGATGGGCCAGAGGAGGGAGGATGAGACAAAAGGAGAAGAGAGGGAGGTGGAACCCAGGTCCATACCCAGGAATAGCTCACAGGAGCTTCCAGGCCCCCTACCCAGCCTGCGAGGTGAGAGACCTTGGTGTTGGACCCCAGCCAGCTTAGTGGGGTTCCTGCACAGACACACGGCTGCAGCGGAGGCCGGGGATGGGAGCTGCGGAGAGATGACAGTGTGTGCGTGGACGCGAATGTGTATCCTTCACCCTGGCAGACGAGGTGTTGGCAGAACATCCCAGCCCACTCTGTCTCTGAGGGCCACAAAGTCCTGCTATCCTTCCTCACTCATTTGTTAACCTGCCTCTCTTCTTTGCCACGTCCTCGTTCATGCTGAGAGAAGCTACTTTATATATGACCGGTGCCATTCAAAATCACCTCCCTACTTTAGCGCCGTCCTCTGGCCCTCGTGACAATGAGACGACCCAAAAAGGGAACAGCTGGATTTCAAGAAGGCAGTAATTTGCTTTACACCGAGTACAACATTTAGTGTTGATGTAAAGAAGTGTCCCACAATGAAAACAAATGCAGTATTTTATTAGCATTAGGGCGCTCTTGAGCTGTGAACAGCAGGGAAAACAAACGTGTTGTGTTTTCACTCAAGTCCTGTACATAAATGCATCTTTGAAGCATTTAGACTTTGTGAGTTTTTGCATTTCATGGACTAACATTTTACAAACAAAAGATATTTTTAAAAAAATTTAAAAAAAAAAGATGATGCAGTATTTTAGGTTGAACTAAGCATATGACATAGTTAAATAGTGGTTTTCTGTCTCAGACTCATGGATTCCTATAAAAACTTTCTAAACCTGCTATTCCTAATGCAGCCACTAGATGTCCTCAGACTTTCCCACCAGCACCTGATCCCCTTCACCTGCCAGCACACCTGTTCCCATTATGTTCAAACTAGTCCAGTTTCTTTTGTGATACTGTTTCTTGCCATTTTGCACCTGTTCCTGGCTGTTTCCAAACCTGCACATGTCTGAATGTTGCAATCATCAAATTGCATTAGATTCACCATCCAGAGCTCTGTTCACAAGCTGTGACTTTCTGCTTTGAGCAGCCACAATAAAAGGCTACTTACACACTGATGTAGAGGAACAATTAGATGATTCGATTAGATTAGAGTTTAGCTTCTCAGCTTCTGCACTGTTCATAAAAAGGACAGTTATGGGAAATTACATTAGGCAGTTTTCCCTTTTATTTTCTTTTTTTTAAAATGAGAAAATGACCAGATTTAATAATTATTTGCAAACTCACATGTAAAAAAAATTCACAGGGGTCACTGTTCTGTGTTATTCTGAGAATTTTCAGTGGTGAGAACAATTTTGCAATACAGATTACACATTTTTAACTTGAGTATAACTTGTAAAGCAGGACTTCTTTTTGTAATAAAACAATTTTAAACATTGGTACTGTCACTAAGGTAAAACATTTGAATATTTGATCCATCCAGCCATCTATCTGGTTGTGTTGCTGAATTCAAAGACACGTAAGAGTCGAGAGAGCCACAGAATGAGGTTTGAGAATGACTTCTACAGACAGTAAGAATGTTTTAAATATTAATTTAAATCTCAGAATTATGTTCACTAAAAGTAAAGTGTAAATCCACATAATAAACATTCTGTTTTTGTGTAAGTTATATAAGCACATGCATATTTATTAAAATCTTCTTTCCTTTTTCTTTCTGCAGAATCCAGCTCTGTGTGTTTGTACAGGAACAAGTATGCACACCCACAAATGTGCATATTGATTGTTTGACAAAAAATGTCCTTAAAAATAAAACCCACTACCTCTGCAGTAACACAGCCGGTCTGAATACTAATTAGAATGACAGGATACGATGCTAAGAAACAACCTACTGGTCAACTTTAAGTGTTATAAAA